TGTGGGCTTGACCCTAGAGACAGCTAAACTGTTGCGGGCTTGGCACGCTCGCAAAATTCGAGCTGTCCTGAACAAGCCAGCGCACCTGACACACATATCCACGGCTGACCTCTACGCCTCCCATGAGATCATGGACCCTGTCCGTAAGCTGCAGGCGCGACAGGCCAATCGTGTCAAGCGCTTAGGTGCTCGACGGCGGAGCGGGGGACGCGAGGCGGAGGCACTCTCTACTAGTTATGCAGACGTTCTGCAGCAACTTTCTAAGGACACATCACAGCAGGAGGCCCCCCCGTCCTTCGTGTGCCCGACGTGTGCTCAGGCCTTCGACACTGAGGTCGGTCTTCGCACCCACCAGGCCCGCAAGCATCCAGGCTCGGTCATCAGATATGTCCCTCGAGGCTTCTCCCACACCCTCTCTGTAGGAGGGCTCCCCAAGTGTGCGGCCTGCAACAGGCAATTCCCTCAGATGAAGGGCTTAAAGGACCACTTGCTATCAGGTGCCTGCTCGGAGCCAGCTAGGCTACAGGAGCTGGATGACGCGGCGCACCCTCCCTTGGATTCGCAGCATCAGCCCAGATTGCATCCCAGGCAGCAGCGCTTGCATGACACTCTGACAACACACACGGCTGTGGAGCTCGGACGATCTGATGAGTCTCAGGACCTTATGTCACATTGCTTGCTGTGTGGGTTCTGGACCCCGGACAATACCAAGCTCAAGTCTCACATCCGGCAGGCCCACAAACCTGAATGGGCGGCTCATGGCGCTACAGCTGCAACTCAGAGCAGCAAATCAGGCCTGACCCTTGTCAAGGGCATGCCTTGCCCGTGCTGCCGCAAGCCTGTTACGGATAAGAGGCAGCATCCGGCACAATGTCCGATCCTTTTTCAGATTCTGTTTTATGACTTGGTTCATGCACTTTCCCGCTGCCAGGGCGGACCGTTACGCAGGTACATGCCAGCGGTTGGCACGACACAAGGCAACGCACCCACACGGGACGATACCACCGCTGTTGGAGCAACGCCCCAGACTCGCCAGGCAACGCCTGCAGGCCCCCTGCCACCGAAGTCAGGGACAGTAGAATCAAAGGACGGCGCGCTCGCTGCTCCTCGCTCGCTGCGCAACATCTCCAACTACTGCTATGTTAACTCAACGCTTTCGGCCCTGGTGCCGACGTGCATCTTGCTGGAGCACGGAGGGGCAAGCACCTCCCTCCATCAGGAAGTGGCTGATTCTGTCTCTGGTTCTCCTTTCACCCTGACTGCCTCTTTCACGCTTCGCCATCTTACTCCCACTTGGCGCTATGATGGCCAACAACAAGATGCTTCGGAGTTTCTAGTGGCCTTATTTGCAGGCATTACCGCCTTTCCGATTGCACGACCCTGGGAAGTCAGGGATGTAAACACTACTGAGGTCACCGATGCGGGAGGTCCGCTCGCTTTGCTGCCAGCTCCAACGACAGGTGGATCCCATGCACTTCAGGAGCTGCTCTCTCGGTGGTCTGGCCAGCCGGTGCACACCGCCTTTCGAGGGCAGCAACGACTGGTGGTTCTCACAGTGGCGCGATTTGTTGAAGGCCGCAAGCTCAGCTATGCTGTCACTGGTCTGCACCACCCCCTTCAGCTCTCGCAGTGGGCCCCGACGGGCTCCGTACAACTAGAGAAAGGATGGGTTCAGTCCTGTATCTTCCACATAGGTGACACCCCGCACAGTGGACATTATCGCTCCCTCTGGAGGAGCAACCCCGATCAACCTTGGCTCAGCACGGACGATGGTCGTCCGTCGGTTCAGGCCTCAGATTCAGATCTCAGGCAGGCACGCCACGGCTGCTATGTGCTGTTCGTGCGACTTGGTTCAATACCGCACACAGCGGAGGCTGGCCCTATGCCAGTCCAAGTTTCAGATGATTAAGCTGAGGGTTCCCCTGAGGCCAGGGGCCCCTACTTCCCCTTGCAGGAAGGGGGCGACCTACTGGCTCTGTGGGACCGACCTGCCTACACGGCAGGGAGCAGGAACGCTGTTGTTCAGTTTTGCTGCTCAAGTCGTACAGCTGACGTAGCTCCACTACTCAGCGTTTGTGTGCAATAGCGGCCTATACCTGTCATGCTAGTCGGGCAACGCTCGCTGCTTTCCCAGAAAGGCAACGCCTGTCAGCAACACAGCTGACCAATGGCTGAAATCGGCTTTACAAACCCCCATTCTCGGCTCGAGAAGGGGGGTTTGTCCGAGGCCTAAAAATCAAGGTTTTGCAACCCCCCATTCTCGGCTCGAGAATGGGGGGTTGTCCGAGGCCCCCAAGCCATTGCCGGCAAGCCTGGCCTCTGGAGGGGAGTACGCCTCTTACGAATAAGGTTAGCCTTATTAGGCACAGTGTGCTTACCGCCAGGGTGTGCCACATCGTTCACCGATGCAATCTGCTTGCCCACAAAAGCGGAGCTGCCTCAGATAACAGCACTAGCAGCCGTTCCACATGCTCATCACCTTTGCGACCTTACGGCCCATCGCCTTTGATTGAGAGTGACCATGAGTGGGACGCCACGCAACAGGCACTCTGAGTGACGGTCCCGAGGGGGTACGGCTCATCAATCATCGGTCCGTGGACATGGGACGCCATAGTCCACACTGAGGGTGACGGAGGGTTTCTCACCCACGCCTGAGACGCATGAACCGGCTTTTGAGGTAGCTTGTAGGGTAGCTCTCTTCACGGTAGCCTGTTTCAGCGCTTTCAGGCCCAGGCCCTTAGCATTTCTGCTCTCAGACCTTTGTTCAGGTGCAAAGGCAGTCTCACACGCCCGCAATGAGCAGAGCCCGCTCGCTCAGCGTCCAATAAAATTGTTGTTGTTGTTGTTGTTGTTGTTGTTGTTGTTGTTGTTGTTGTTGTTGTTGTTGTTGTTGTTGTTGTTGTTGTTGTTGTTGTTGTTGTTGTTGTTGTTGTTGTTGTTGTTGTTGTTGTTGTTGTTGTTGTTGTTGTTGTTGTTGTTGTTGTTGTTGGTTGTTGTTGTTGTTGTTGTTGTTGTTGTTGTTGTTGTTGTTGTTGTTGTTGTTGTTGTTGTTGTTGTTGTTGTTGTTGTTGTTGTTGTTGTTGTTGTTGTTGTTGTTGTTGTTGTTGTTGTTGTTGTTGTTGTTGTTGTTGGTGGTGGTGGTGGTGGTGGTGGTGGTGGTGGTGGTGGTGGTGGTGGTGGTGGTGGTGGTGGTGGTGGTGGTGGTGGTGGTGTTGTGGTGTGGTTGGTCGTTGTCGTTGTCGTTGTGGTTGTGGTTGTGGTTGTTGTCGTTGTCGTTTGTCGTTGTCGTTGTCGTTGTCGTTGTCGTTGTCGTTGTCGTTGTCGTTGTCGTTGTTGTTGTTGTTGTTGTTGTTGTTGTTGTTGTTGTTGTTGTTGTTGTTGTTGTTGTTGTTGTTGTTGTTGTTGTTGTTGTTGTTGTTGTTGTTGTTGTTGTTGTTGGTTGCACCGCAGTTAGGAGAGATCCGAACGTTGCGACAGGAACTAGGTCAGCGAGTATTCGCCGGATGCATGGTGCATCACGCTGCTGTTGAGCGTACCAAGACTCCGCGCTGTCACGAGTGACAGCGCACATAACTATAAAGGACCAATGCGCACAACGCGAGGCTATTCCCCGCTTCGACCGTGTCTAGGACACGGGTGTGCTCAGCATTGCCCGTGATGGCCATGTTCCGTCAGCGAGTGTTCTGTCGTCAGCGCAGGCAATTGAAAACCAAGGTTCCGGAGCCGCGTCCTTGAATCAGTCGAAAGTCTCTGTAATGAGCGCACGGTATAGCCGATGAGGATCAGTCTGTCCCCGCATGACCACGGCGTGGTAGCATGCTTCAGGAGCGGACTAAACGTACAGTGCGGCCATCCGATTCTGTGCATCGTACCAGGACCGGAGGTCTGATCAAGGATGTGGGCTCCGGCAGCGTTCTGAACCCATAAGCTCCCTCCTTTCCAGCGAGAACAAGGAATCACTGCGTTGAGTGAGCATGGATCGTTATGGGCATCACTGTGAAGCTGCATCAAGGTGTTCCTTTGAAGCGTGACTGATGAGAATGTAAATTCAGTCCCGCAGGCTTCGCGGATAATTGCCGTGAGCGCCCGTGTGACTTGTGGGTACAGCCCCGTGCTCGTCAGGATACCAGTGTCGTGCGCAAAGGTGTATGCACCTGACGAGAAGCTGCATTGGCGAGGCATATTATCACTGAGCTGCCTACGCCGTTTCGCCGTGGCCCGGTCCGGTAAAGCGTCCATAATCGCTGAGAGATTCTCGAAGGTGGCGACGCCAGCGTCCAGGATACCATTAGCCATGTTCTCCACCGTACGCCGTTTCATCGTCATCATGGTGGCCTCGCCTGGAAAAGTGAGTGCCGGCTGGTGTGGTAGGTGGTTGCGAACCGACTGATGGCACATATCCAGAACGTGTTGCTGCTGGCTCTCCATAACATTCCACTCCTCAGTAACAGAATCCGCTGAAGTGAGGGGCTCGAAGCGTGGAGGACATACCGATTCCAAATCCATATCCTCGGCGATTAGGGAAGAAGATTTAGGGCTCATGGGGTCAAGGTCAGTGGAGGCGGCAAGCTCAGATGCCGAGCTGTGCAGCGAGCTGGGTGAGTCCACCTGGTTGGCGAAGCGTGGGTGCGCGGGTCCCAAAATAGAGGGGAGCTCGAGTTCCCATACTTCTTCAGGCACATTATCGGGCTTGCTGGGCCACGACTGTGGATACGTGCTGTCGGCTGACATGGCATGCATGGACAATGTGGGCTTGAGCGGTGAGGCGCAAGAGAAAATGAAGAGTGGGGCGGTCCAGCACTGGGGAGGACACATGAATGCAAAATGAAAAGGTATGCGATGCAGCGGCAGCTAGGGAGACGTTTTTGAAGCCCACTGAATTTGCAGTGCGGCTAGTCCCGCGGCGAGCCCCCGGCCCGCGGCCTCATCCCCATGCCTCGCCGACAAGACGGGGCAAGAAGATATCGTGGTGCATGGGTGCTGGGCCTCTTGAAGGCCAGCTAATCCCCTCGCCTGCAAAGCAACATGTAAACCTCCCTGGATGCGAAAGCGTCCCCTCGTCTGAGTTCCGATGTGTCGCTCATGGCTGTAGGCTCGAGGCCGTCATCACAGAAGTAATCAACACCTGAGGCATGGTCATGTATGATGGTGGTGTAATGGCCTGCCTGGATGTCCGGACCACGGTGCAATACAGCGGCTGCTACTGTGTATGTGACATTACAGGATTCCATACCTTCCCCCGTGAAGCATGACATGTTGATAGTACGGGGCCATGTGATAAGAGCATGGCGCTTGCATGCTCCCTCGGGTCCGTGCGTGTATCGAGCAAATCTGAGCGCCAGGAGCTCAGGCGGCACCCTAAGGGCATGTACAGAAGCCTGATGGTGCCACGCATGTAAGAGGCTTTGAGTCCCAAGCTCATCCCCGTTGGGGAGGTCCAGAGTGACTGCCTGGTGGCACTCGCCGGACTCTGTAACGCGAATCCCGAGCTCCGTGTCACGGCGCGCCTCCCATTCCCCCGAAGTGGCCTGGGGGCAGAGTTTGCGGATCAGGTGTGCGAGGAATTCGGCGCTGTCATGCTGTCTGTGTGCATTGGCCCAGCCTGTCATGGCAAAACGCCATAGGAGCATACCTGGTATGAAATGAGGGCGACGCGGCAACCTACTCAGAAAGGAGAATGCCTGGCATCCAGCGTGCGTGAGAGCCGTCGGGCCGTCCTGTGAAAAGTGGTCCCCGTGCAAGATGGTCCAGAGGAGAGCTCTAGCGGAGGCATTGAAGTAATAGTTACCAGGATTGCTAAGAGTGATGGTCCTCAGGAGTACACGCGATCCAAGAGCTGCTGAAGCGTAGGTGGACGCTGCATGGTCTCTCTCCTGAACTGAACCCCCGCCAATTGCAGTGCGGCACATCCTTGGAGCTGCGTGAGAAGATCGAAGAGTTGATTCGCTTCTGAGCAGCGGTTCGCGACATCCATGAGCACTCGGACTGTTTGTCCCTCCATGCCTTCTTCGAGGCCCCGAAGCGCATGAAAGCGTGACAATGTATCTGGATGGAGAAGTCCTTGGATTTCCTGGAGGATCCTCAAGAGCTCGCCCGGTGAGATGGGGGTCCGCGCAGTGTCCACCGTCAGCGCCTTGAGATCTGGGCACCACCTCTGATAGATCCATAGACCAGCGTCGTTGGCCCATCCCGAGCTCTTCACCATCTTGAGGGTCTCCTCGCTCGGGCTTTGGACCGAGGACTTGATGAATTCTATCAGGCTCCAGAACATGGCCTGTCGGATGGGAGTGTTCTTGAGCTTGCTGTCTGGCTTGACCACCGACTCTCGCCACACCTTGGCAGCTTGAACCAGGGCAGGAATTGGCGATGGTGCCGGGATCTTGAGCCACCATACCCACCCCGTGCTGAGTCGGAGCGTGGAGATCGCCTCCTGGTGGTGCATTAGGAGTCTGGTCACCAGCCTCAGCGTCTCCTGTTGACCCTGTTGTCCTCGCTGCTGATGCGTCTGGCCCTGAGATTCTCCGCCCTGCTGACCACCCGAGCGGTGCCCCCTGCCGTAGCGATGGCCCTTTCCTTTCCCACCTGAGTTGGGTTTGCTTGCCTTGTTCTGGCGCTCCGGCGCGTTGGCAGCGTCCGTGGGCTCCGCCGTGGTGGGGCGCTTGCCCCTCATCACCGGACCGAAGAGCTCCTCCATCGCCGAGTCTGCCGCTGCGGGGCTCATACCCATGTTGTAGTGCTACAAGGCAGGCTTGCCAGAGCGCGATGCAAGTGGCAAGGTGTTGTCTCGGATGGGCCCTGGCTTGTCCACAGTAGAGGCACGGCGAGAAGGCTCCACCTAGACGGGCGGCCAACTGAGTGGCTTGCTCGTTAAAGACAAATGGCTCAGGATGTTGGCTGCGCATGTGGATTTTAATGGTGTGGGAACGGTCGTGCCATTGGTCACAGAATAGGCAGTGGTGCGCTAGCTCATTTATCCACTCCGCCCTCATAAGTCCCTGGAGTCCGGACAGCCGGAGAACTTGCATGGCCTCCTTAAGGCGTAGAGGCGAGGTCAGGACCACTGGTGCACTTCCCTCCGCTTGGGTGTCTACCTTAGGGACTGGCACACCCGTCGGCCTTTGCGTCTCCTGCTGTCGGTGGCAAGACTTGTCATCATTGGATCGGGAAGTGTGGGGCACGGCTAATGTGGGTGCGACCTCTGCCATAGCCGAGCCGGCGGTCTGATTCACAGATGTCTCCTCGGTGAGTATGGCGGGATGGGAGTCGGACCTTTCCGTGGGTAGTTCCTGAGTGCAGCGCTGCTGGGTGACGTGGGTCTCCAGCACCTCCCATCGCGCGAAGGCGACGCCACAAAGGGCACAGATCGGCATACCCTGAAGTGCATGCTGTGCCCGGCTGAACCGGACCTTACGCATGTAGAGCTTGTGAACCTTGGTGATGTGCCAGCGCAAGGTCGAGAGGCTGTGATATTCCTTGGGACAGTGAGGGCATGACCATCCTGTTGCCTGTACGCGACCAGCCTCGACAGGCGGCGCGTTGGCTTCATGGGTGGATGGGACAGTGGTTGTGGCAGGGGTTGTCATGGGAGCAATGGGTGGTGGGAGTGGAGCGTGGTAGGTGGCATTAGGCTGTAGGTGTCTAGTATGCACAGGGTCGCAAACTACGTTGAGCACGGCAGGCCTATTTAGTGGTGACTGGCTGTCAACATCGTGGGCATTCGCGCTAGCATCCCTGTTCCCTTCAGGCTGTTCGGAGTGCACCGTAGACTGACCGGAGTGAGTTTGGGGAGGAGGAGGAGACCAACAACTTTGCAGGTGTTTCATCCATGGGTGATCCGATTGCTGCACATGAACATCTTCAGGATCCCGGCGGTCCACCAATACGCGATGTTGCCGTTCCAGGGCCTGTTGGGGAGTCTGCAGGCGAAGTCTGGAAAGTAGCACGGAGTCAGATTCATGTGTGATGTGAGCGGGGGCTCTCGCAATCGCACGAAGTTGCCGCATGAGCACTGTCTGCAGGGAATTAAGCTGCTCTGCATTGAGGCCACAGGCTCCCAAGGAGTATAGAGCCGTGGGGAGTACCGTGGAGCGCCACAACAGAACCCTTTGGCCTAGCGTAAGCTTGTGTCTGCCTTGTAGGACTTTTCGGAGGCGACTGCAAGTTGCTTTACAGGCGTCAAGTCTGTGTTGTAGCGTTTGCTCAGTGAAGTTGCGGTATGAAGCCACTGCTCCTAGGTACACGGTTTTCTCCACTAGCGGTAGGAGGTGGTCCTCTCCCGAGGCCCTGACCCGCAGGAAGCGCGTGCCTTTGACCACCTTCGTGAATTCAGCAAGGGCAGCTTTCCGCTGCGTTCCCCCCACAGTGAGGATTACAGCGGCTTTCTCAGCATTAACGATCATCCCATGTTTACGAAGGACAGCAATGACTACTCCTACTCCTTGACAGAGGCGATCAAGTTCATGGCGCGTGTGGAACAGGCCTGAAGCATGGAAGTCGTCGGCATACAGGGTCATGTGCCGGGCCGTCCAGCCCGTCTCCAGTCTCTGGTCCATCCTTCGAAGGAGCATTGAGGTGAAGGCTGCGAACAGCAGTGGTGACACCGGGCACCCCTGTTTAACCCCTCGGCTGGAGCAGACCTCTGCGCTACAATCTTCAATCGTGATGCGGTACCTGCTGCGCCCTATCCAGTGCAACAGCAGTTGGGCAGGGCCCTCCTGGACGCCGGCTTCTGCCAGTGCTTCCGCCAGTGCCTGGCGGGGTACCAAATCGAAGGCGGTGCTTAGGTCAATGCAAATCTGCAGGCCGCCTGCCAGCGGTGCTGGTCGGCGGCCTAAGCGACGGTTGTACAAGGTGCTCCGGTTCCGACTTCTAAGATCTTTGGCCATGCCACAATGGTGAAAGACGCGCCTGAGCGCTTCCTGCGTTGACCTACCCTTTATGTACGCAAATTGCGGGGTGTCAAGGATGTATTGGGTCACGTCAGATCGGATTTTGTCCATCAGCATGCTTATGATCGATTTACCCAGTGCGTCGATGAGTCCTATGGGCCTATAGTGTGTGGGAAGGGTGCCTGGTTTCCCAGGTTTGAGGAGAAGAGCGAGCTTAGCTATCACCCACTGATCGGACACAGTGGTCTCCCCAGCCCTCCAGCTGTGGGTGAGATGCTCAGCAATGGCTGGCGCGGTAATGTCTGAGCACATGCGCCACACGGCCCCAGGAGACGACCCTGGGAGTCCGGCTTTGGATCCCGGCAGACGCTGGAGGGCATGTTGCACCTCGTGCTGGCAGGCCGTGACATCTTCAGTCAGCGCTACTACAAGGAGCTGGTTGGTGGCAGCATCGGATTGGTACAGTTTTTCAAAGTGCTTACGCATTTCGGCCACTTCCTCAGTAGGAGTGAGGAGTTTACCGTCTATCCGAAGCTGAAACTTCCGATACACCGCCCGCGGCGCAAGCTGATTAATAAGCTTGTGGTGTTCCCTGTAGTCGTGATCGGCCGCAGCTTTGTGAGCGAGGGCGAACATGCCTTGGAGCTTTTGTTTGCGCAACAGTGTGCCTCTTTCCTTCGCGGCCCGGTGCAGTTTCCGGAAGTACATCGTGTGCTTCCAGATTTGCATGGCTATCCGGAGTGTGGGCCTCCCGTTGGACCTGCGGACTAGGGCAGCACGGGCTCTGAAATGCCCCCACATTGTCTCTGCATAGTGCGTGATAGTGTCGTCCTGCCAGGGTTTTTCCGTGCGGCTCGGCGGCCTTTTAGGAAACAGCCTACACGCAATGCGATAGATGCCCTCTTGAAGTTGTTCAATGTCCTCGGTTCCCCTATCCACAAGGCTTTTGACCTCAACCCGGAAATCCCGAACCCTGGTGTCCTTTTCATCTCCTAGTGCCGCCTGAACTGCGTAACGGTCGACCTCTAAGCGTTGTTGTGGATGTTGTGCCTGCTGATGTTCCCACGGTTGCCAGTGTTGCAACACATGCGCGCAGACAGGGATGTGGCGCGGCCCGCCCCTCCATCTGCCCACTGGGAAGTTATGCACAGGACAAGCAGTCTTGGAAGCTCCCCGCGCGTGCAGTCTGCGCGTCAGCCAGAAATCGATTTGGGACTGCTGTTGACCCCACTGATATGTGTGTAAGGGAGCGGCCGTATCGTAGGTGTTCAGCACGGCCAGGTCCAGGCCTTTGATAGCAGCTGCGAAGTCGGCAAGATCCGAAGCGTTGTGATGCGACTTGTGTAGGATTCCGCTGCCCGTGTGTGCCGGTATTGACATACAAGGCGTGTTGAAATCCCCTCCAATCAGTAACCTGCTGCGAAGCGGAACTGCCTGCGCTTGTTGGATGAGCGCTTCCAGCGCCTTGTGCCTGAGGGCAAGCACTTCAGGGGATGACCTCCAGGTGTGCTGGTAAAAATTTAGAATGTCCACCTGCCTAGAGCCGTGCTGGAAACATACTCTGAGAAGTCTGCCCTTAATGGGTGCGACATGTCGGAGTGTACCCTTATCCACAATCCGTTTGGATATTATGGTGAGCACTCCAGCCTGGCAGTGATCCTTGGCACTAGTTCCGGAATGAATGTAGTAGTGCGTAGAATCTTCCCACTCCGATTCGAATCTCCACTTTGTTTCCTGAAGAAGTACGACATCGAAGGCTGTGCTTTTAAGATAGACCATGAATTCATCAAATAGCCCACCACCGAGGCCACCGGAGTTCCAGGTCAGCAAGTGGTAGTGTTTGGGAGGGAGAGCCCGGGACCTGATGACACTCGCCTGCTTATCGCCCGCGGGGCGAAGACGTGCAACAGAGTCAGGGTGCACTCCTGTGGTCCGCGCATCTGGTTTGATCCACTTGCCCTTATACCATGCGCCCCCAAATCTGTGTGCGCGACGTTGGGCTCGCATATACGTGCGCTTTTTGATCCTAGAGGAGTCTTGGGTGTGCGACTGATCAGTCGCCTGTCTGCCCAGCGGAAGCTTCGCGGCTTTACGTAAGGAAGCGGTATGAAGTGCATCCGCTCCTGTCGTGCCCTGGGCCGGCACGACAACCCTCGCGTCCAATGTTCCGGTACTAGCTTGTACATATAGAAGCGCAATCCCCAGCCTGAGCCACCAGCCTAGGCGGGGGGTAGTCCGACCGGAACATTCCCCGGACTTGGGACCGGGGGGGCCATGTGTGTGAAAGAGTGCCGACAGGTGTGTGGTGTATTCAGCTATGCGATGCCCGCCCGTAACAGCTTGCCATGTCAACGTGAGTCTCCCAGAATAGTTGTAATCAACGGCATTTGCTAAACTAGGAGCACACGCATTAGGGGCAGGCCTCCTGAGCGCTCGGAGCTGGCGATGCACGCTGGTACCTATGCCACGCGCTACTGTGATCCAGAGATCACTGGGGCTGAGTGCGTGGAGGCAGTGCAGCACGTCTCTGTGGCTTTTGGAGGCATGCTGGCCTGCGTGGCTCTGGCTCGGCAGGCGCTGCCGCCGCATACATCGAGTCCTGCGTGATCGCATCCAAGGGTGACGTTGAAAGGAGCGATTTCGCATGAGGGTGGGGATGTGCCAATGCACAAAGGGGTCACGGAAGGGGCTGTGCCAGTGGCATGGGCGCTGCACTGCAAGGATAGAAGGGGGATGCAGGCATCTAGGGACAAGTTTACAGGGGCACCGTTGGCAACCCAAAGTCCAAAAGAGACACCCCGAGAGTTCTGAAGGAGGGAACTGGGGCAAAGGTGCATGCCAGAATGCACAAACCCGAGGATCCGAGCCCAAGCCTACTATGGGGATGTGGTAGAGCACTGCACACAGAGCCATGTACTCGCACCCATAGCGGTCGCTGATTGCTTGCAAGTCCTCATCTAACTGAAAGGCGGACGGTGGCGTCCCTGCCCCGTGTAGGCTGAGCTCACCGGCCTGTATGGCTTCCGCTGCCTGAAGCTTAATTTCTATCCTCCAGAGTAGCTCTGCCTCTAGGAACGGAGGAGTCTTCGGTGCTGGATGGTGCAGCGCAGCCCTGGCCTCGATTTCTCGGTTCTCGGATTCGGAGACAAGAGGCGGAATGTCAGCGCATCCAGGTGACCCAGACCAGTTGGTCTGCGTCAAGTCGACCACTGGCGCATCCACAGCGGTG